TGCTTGGATTGGGCTTTACTTATAAGATCCTTCACCTCATTTTTTGCCTTGGAAATTGTTTCATTGATTTTCTCCATTGTGGCTGCATCAGCAATAGTATCTCCAATTCCGATGCTAAAAGCATTCTGCAGCAGCCAGTAATTCACAAGCCATTGGGTATGACCCAGAAACTTGCGGGCTGCATCTGGACCAACCTCTTCCCTGCACACCAAGCCAAAGTGGTCAAATTATATGTTTGATGGAAGCAAAGGTCCTATTGTATGGTGCATCATAAACTGAGGGTATGAACTTCACCAAGACCATACACACAAATGTATTTCTTAACTTAATAGAGTGAACTGAAAAGAGAAAATTTGCATACCATATAACATGGATAAGACTTCCTGTAGAAGTCCCAAGGGCCTTCTTGCAGAGAGTTCCAGAAAGCAATTCACCCTTTTCTATTCTAACAAGAGTATCCCCTGGAGTTATGTTCCCACTCTCTGATTCTGAGTGCCATGCAGAAGTTCTTTGGAGATTTATTTGTTTTGGTATTATAAGATTAAACACCTGTTTTCCAGTCCAAAGTGGTCGGGGCTTCAAAATCGCAGGAGCAGGAACCTTTCCATCAAAATCCTCCCACCACATCAAGATATTCATGAAAACATCCTGAAAAGAATTAGTGAGGGTAAGACTCCTTTTGCATAAAATAAAAAATATAAAAAAATATTAACAAAACACGATATTCAAAGGGTAAAATAGGGGTGAATCAGTTACCTTCTCTATGAAGGTGTCCCTCTTAGTGATCTTACGACAACCTAAAAGTGTGTCCTGCACAATTCCCATGACAGGTCGATTAGCCTGAGGTGAGACGATGCATTTTGGCACCATCATGAGCTCCAAAACTTCGGCCCTGGTTTCAAAGGACTGGGGCACGTGCATATTCATTTCATCCCCGTCAAAGTCAGCATTATATGGCGAGGTCACAGACAAATTCAATCGGAATGTCGAGTATGGCATGATCTTGATTCTGTGGCCCATGATAGACATTTTATGGAGACTAGGTTGTCGATTAAAGAGGACAAAGTCTCCATCATTCAAATGACGTTCCACCTGAAGCCACAATAGTAGAAGTTCAAAATTTACTCTCAAACAGAAAAGACCCAAATCAAAACTTATCAGAATGAAAGAGCAATGCCTTATATCCAAGCTCCAAATGATGATCACTGCTTTTCTTCAAATAACGAAGATCAAGCCTTTGCCCATCATCTCTTATTATATACTTCGCACCAGTTTTACCAGGCGGAGGATGGGGGCCATACTCAACAAGCTCCTTCAACCTGTTTGTTATTGAATAATATTCCATCACTACTGAATAAACTAGGAAGATGAAAAATGTAGAAAAGAACAAAGATGGGAAAATTAAAAAAGATAAAGTCTACCTTTCAATGTTATATGGAGTCACAGTCTCAGGGTATGTGAGATTCAAAGCAATACTCCACGGCACTCCTAATTGATCGATGTTTATGTTTGGATCGGGAGTAATCACTGTCCGAGCTGAAAAATCAACACGTTTCCCCATTAAGTTGCCTCTTATACGCCCTTCCTTTGCCTTCAGTCTACTACAAATTGATTTAATAGGCCTCCCTGATCTCTGCGTAGCCTGTTTCAGTGAGGCATTTCAGAGTACGCATGAAATGAAGTTGTACTGCTTAACATAAATTTATGTGTATCTACACAAAGAAAGACACAACATAAATGAATATAGTTACCATGCAGAAATATATTTTAATGTATACATACCCTTGGTAGTCCTGGCAACTCATTGTCAAAATAAGTGGCAATGTGGAATTGCAGAAGTTGTGCAAACTCTGAAATGATATGAGCAGGAGAACCATTTCGTTCCTGCCGCCTGAGATTGTCATTATGACGAATTATCATCGCCAATTGATGAGTCAAATCATCCTGGAGACAGAAAATACATGAAGTCAGTTATCAACTTATCACCAACAACAATAAATACTAGACTTTCTCTTTAGCTACTAAAATTATCAGCTTGCCACTTGTTCTCTAAACAGAAAGGAAAAAACACAGCACAAAAGAAGCTTACCTCACTCCTGGATGAGGTGTCCATCATAACAGAGGGTCTCACAGGTTGTGGAGGAATAGGCAGAACTTGTAGAATCATCCAATCTGGCCGAGCGTACTTTGGGTTTAATCCCAATATTTGGGAGTCTTCATCACTTATTCTCTTTAAAACACTAAGAACCTGATACAAATCTAACAATGTTTTAGCATCATGAAAAGCTGGCCTGACACAAGGAAAATCTGTCTATTTAAAGTATACCAACCCTTTCTGCAGTGAGGGTCTGTTTCCTTTCCACGGGTTCAGGAAGCTGTTCCGGGTCATCGTTTTTCTTCCTTTGGGCTTTGTACTCTGCATTCATTTTCATACCCTCAATAGAGAGCTTGGGCTGCTGAGCACCACAGCCACCCCGACTTTTCTTTACAGGCTCTTCAGTATCTTGGCCTTGGACATCAATTTCGTCACCACCTTCACATTTGGTTTTGTTTTTGCAGGCATCCAAAATTTTTTTCAGCCTGCTTTTCGGATTCTTTATTCTCATAGCTTGCTTAAACTTGTGGTCGTCCTGCAAAATGAAGTCACATAAAATTTGCTGGGGTTAACAATTGTCAGCATACTTAAGTATAAGATCCTTTTTTAAAACAAAAATGATGTTTTCGGATTCCATGAGGCAACACTCATTTAATGCACCGCATTCATTCAAGCCATCCCAAAACATAACCCAACAAATTTACAATGAGGTATACAACAGGCTAGGGACATCCAAATGACCTTTCAATCTATCTTACAAAGTTACTAGACTAACAAGCTTACCAATGTTAGTCAATATCAAGAAAGCAGTACCTCATCGACTAGAATTTTCGAGCAATTGAAGCAAACGCATCGCATCACGGACAACACAATCTTCATGAAACCGATGTGAAACATTGGTTTTGCAAGCTCAAGGTGCCCAAAATGGCCAGGGCACTCAGCCATGTTGGCTGTACAAGTCTCACATTTCAACTTCCGGTCAATTGTACCAAGCCGAGGATCACTCAAACCAGCCGTCTTCGGTTTGCCTCCCAACATAGTCTCACTGTGCTCAATCTCCACCACAGACATTTGCCTCTGCAAACAAAACACACCACAAAAAAAAATTGTTTCAGACCACTCCGATTCACCTAAATACAGCATTCAATAAACTCTAGCAATCATCCAATCACTACCAAATCGATCAAACTCAGTAAACAGCTCGAAATCTCGCAACAGAATTCACGTTTCTTAATCTTTTTCGGCAAACAAACAGGCGATAACCGAATGAACGCAAAAACGAAGAACAAAGAGGGAGCGGAAAATTACAATTTCGTCGGGGCTGAGGATGCCGAACTGCACGCATTTCACCTTCGCCACCTCGGCTGGCGAGTAGGGAAACCGGATATCCATGGCGGCGGCGGCGACGAGGACAAACCCTAGGGTTTTTTCCGAGTAGAATTCTCACTGTAACTGAAATTTAGTCAGCTCGTGGTGTTCGTCAATCAAATAGTATTCTGATTTCTTTGTTTTTCTGATTTTTTTTTGGGTTTAATTTGGTTTTTCTGTTTGCGGCGAATACGAGAGATCGATTTCGCTCTCGACTCTTGGGGGAGAAGCTCTCCGACCAAACCAAAGGAAAAATGAGACCCTAAGGCTCTATTTATAGGCAAAGTGGGTGGAGGATTGTGGGTACCGACTTGTCTGAAAGACGAAATTGCCCTCTAAGGTAGACAGCTTTTGCCGCCCCCATGTGGGCCGTGGGCTGTGGCAAAGCCAATCTGATGGGCTTTTTGATCGGAAGTGTTCTGCCAGCGGCTAAAAGTGCATTATGATGATAAAGGAAGTTAAAAAAAAAAAAAAAAAAAAAAAAGTGATTTTAGAGAAAATGGTTTGGGTTCAAAAGTACTTGAAATGTTTTTTTAACAAGAGTCGTTAGTTATGTACTTTTTAAATGAAGTACTTTAAATATTTTTTCATGATTAACTACTAAAGATTGATTTCAAAAATATTTTCTCAAAAATAACTTCAGTCATTTAAAACACATGTCAAATGTTCATTAAAAGATTTTTTTGTGCGCTTGACAAAAGTAATTAGAGATCTTTTCTAAATTATTTGATTGCGATTTTGAATACGTGTTTATTGAAGTGCTTTTACAATAAGCATAAAAGTTGTTTAGGAATGCTTATAAAAAAGGTATAAAACTATTCAAGTTTATTAGTGTTAATCAGCATGGTAAGTCCCGTTGCGCGTCCCAAGTCTTGTTGTTTTGTTTCTTCTTGTTTTAGGTTGATAACCAAGTTCAGGTCTTGTTGTTGTTGTCGTTCTCTTTTTTTTTACTTGCTTCGCATGCAATTCCAAGTTGAGGGTGAGTTGAAACTGTTACTACCAACCCTTGTAAATGGCTCGTTTGGGAAATTTTTTTAAATGATTGAAAATGTTTATAGAGAAAATATTTCTGAGTTTCAAAAGCACTTGAAATGCTTTATGTAAGAAACACCAATTATGTGTTTTTTGCATGAAACACTTTAAGTGTTTTTCCAAGATTAACTTTGTATTTTTTACTAAGATTGGTTTAAAAAACATTTCATCTAAAAATATTTTCAGTTATTTAAAAACACTTCTCAAACCAACCCATAATATTTGCGCGGCTTGTGCAAGCCCGTAATAAGCTTTATTTGCTTTTGAAAACGCATGATAGGGAAGTAAATACTTCAATTTATCTAAAACCAAGATTTACTAATTTTTGCTCAAAGATCCAAATACTTGCTAATCAAATTTTAGAAAATTCGCTGTAATATGATGCCTCCAACTTTTATTTACCTGCAATAGCGGGTCGGGTTGTATTTTCCAATTGGATCACCCATTGCATATTTGGCTGGGGCCCACCTGATTTTCCACAATTCTGAAATTTCCTTGCCGGCTAAACGCGGTTTTGGAAACTTCCAGTCAAAACGAAACCATATAAATGCCAAAACGCAGCAAAAACACCATTTCCCAATTCCGCCAATGGCTTATTCCGATTCGACGATCTACACCTGCACGGAGTGCGGAGCCAACCTGAACCTTTCCGCAGCGAACCTCTACCCTCCGGACTTCTTCTTCGAGGCCGGAAACAAGGGAACGGTGTCGTTTGCGGCGGTCGACACCACCAAGTTCCGGTTCGAGAAGGAGGACAAGATCAGGCCGTTCTTCGAGACCAGAAACTACTGGGGGATCCAACGGACGAGGACGAAGATCAAGTGCAACGGCTGCGGGCGGCTCGTCGGCCACGTCTACGACGATGGGCCCCCCATGACTGACAGTCCCGGCCAGTTTCACATGGGGCCCAGCCAGGTGATCCCTCGAGCTGCTCGGTATAGGTTCAAGACGAAAGCCCTTCGCGTTTCGTCTGGGACTTAGCTGGAATTGTCGCGATTGTTTTTGTGTAATTTTGGGATTTTCTTTGTATACTGAATAATGATATGGGTTGCGACCATAATTTCTTGATTGTATACTTTTTGTTGTGATTGAAGATTTTATAGAATTTGTGATTAAATAAGTGAAAATTGAGGTGGGTTTTTCTGGGAATTTTGGAAAAAAAAATCCCAAGAGCTCTGGAATTTGATCTGGATTGAAGAACATAAATATAATTATTAAATTAAAGAGATCATTAGGAATAGATTAATCATAATATTCCTTATTCGTTGAAGTTAAATGCAGTTGCGAATGAAATATTACGGTTAAATGCACTTGCAGATGACATATTAGTAACACATAAATTATGTATTTACAACGGTAAGTTCAGAACATTAACGATATCTACAATATGCCATTGATACCGACTATACCATTGTTATTGACCACATCTACAATACCATAGTTATCGACCACATCAACGATATCTACAATATACTATCGATACCGACTATACTATCGTTATTGATCACATATTAACGATATAACAATTTTTTTTTTTTTAACAAACGATATTATCTATAGTAAGAGAGAGAAGATTAGTTTAACCTCACAATGAGCTCACAATAATGCGGTTTAAATTTGTATTTGGCGGGAATCAAACCTAAGACCTATCACTTACAAGTAGAGAAATACCATTAAATCTTAGGTAGCAACAAAATTAACACCTGTTAATTAGTTAGTGGAGGCTTTTGGGTAGCCGGCTTGTTATGGTTGTTCAATTTTTAATTGATGCATGACTTGTGGGGCTTTGCTGTCCAAACTTCAACGGAAGTAAATTTTCGGTGTGACGACATCATTCCGTAGGGTATGGTGTTAGATTCATGACAAGTCATCATTCTTGAAAAATATTAGTATTTAGATTTATTTTATTTTTAATGTTTGGTTTTTTGGACATGATTAGTTAGAATTAGAGTTTTGTTTCTTTGCCTAATAGGATCGATTTAGTTTTCTGTATATGTGCTACTTTGTAACTATATGGATAACAAGTTAGTCAAAATGTAGCCTACAATTTGTAATCGTCCCTGACATTCTTGTTTCATTATTTTTCTTTTAATAAAATAGTCTTCAAAGTTTTTTCGTTAGCATACTCTGATTTTGAACAATGTCATCCATTTTATAAAATAATAACACAGCTAAGAGTTGTCGAATCTTACTCGAAATTTCAAGGTGCAACTACCACTCAATTTTCCTTTGTATTAGAAAGCAGAACTGGGAAATGTGCCTGGAAAACCAAATCCATCAGTCGCATTAAATTTGAAAGTTAGGTTGGAGGAGTAGCTACCCCTAGAGGGTTGCGTTGGTACCTGAAAGTTCCATATCCAAGAAGTTCAATCGTATTATTTCTTCCACCACTTTGCAATCTTAATGTTATACTGTTACAACTTTGAAAGGAAAAATCAGCAATTCGATTAGCCGAAAAGATTGATGAAGATGAAGCAAATCGAGCAGGGGAATTCACTCTCGCCGCCACCTCCACCACCGCCACTTCCAAGGTTCTGGGATAAGAAGGCTGTTCCGGAGAGCGTGACAAAGCAAGAAATCGCGAGGTTCTGGTGTCAGAAGCGCATTAACGAAGAGGAGCATCTCCTTGCCGCTATCAAGGCCGCAGCATGTATTCGAGCCCTCAATCTCTCGGTAACATTCTTTAAAATTACTTGTTAAGAGAAAAAAGTTCAGTGTAACCGAGGATATATCTCCTTTCTCTCAGTCTTACTCATCACGTGATCATGTGTCAAGAGCTATCGAGCTGAGACATATGGATCAGAAACATATGCAAAAGAGTAGTTCGTAGCATTTTCATTTGCTTAACTTTTTGAAGGTGTATGGTGTATAGGAGGAAGATTACAGACGTTTCGAGGAGTCCTTGAACAACGATGGCAAAGACAATAAGGACAGCTCTTCTGCTGCCAACGACAGTAATGAGAAGGCGAGTGACAACGAAATTCGTGTTGGAATCAAGGACTGGTTAGTTAATTTTCTCAACTAGTCAAGCACTTTTAAGTTTTCAATTTTTCTTAACAGAGATATTGAACAAATATTTGTGCAGGTGGACGAAAAGCAAGCACGCATACTTGAACCAACCCGCCATAGAGTCCTCCGTGGATCCTCCGAAAAGGCAGACTTCCACATTTTGCTCCGAATTGTTTCGCTTACACGCCTGCGCGGCTCTACCCTACTTCTGTTGGTGTGTTTTAGACCAGTTGATGATCATCAGATGGTTCAGTTCAAATGAAGGTTTACAGCCTCTGCAAGTATATTTATTTTGGTGTGGAGCTGTGATTGCAAAGCTTTGGGCAATCTTTTATGTTTCAGAACACAAATTACACTTCAATTCAAAAGTCCAAACCAGATTGGTTTTTTTTTTTTTTTGTCAAAAAATTAGATTGGTAGCTCAAGAATAAATTTTTTTCTCCCAAGAGGCTTATAGTTCAAGTCGTTAAAAGCATTTATTTCCTCGTTCTTCTTGCCCTAGGCATCCTCTCCATCCCCCCAGCGTCTCCTCCGGCAACTCCCCCAAAGCCAACCTCTAATTAAGTAGAAATGAAACCATGAGTACAAAAATAAAAAAGGGGTGAAGAAAATCACTTGATAATCTAAAAGTGCACAGTATTTCAAGTTAATTGCGTATTTTGTACGTTTTAAATGCAAGATTGGTTTGACAAATGGACATAGTAGCATCATGTTGCATTGCATCGTGTATGTGCCATGAGATGAAAAAATGAGCGCATCATTAAAGAAAGATCAATCACTGTCAACGAAATGAAGTTGCCACGAAAGTTCCTCTCCACATTTAAAGATAGTAAGTAAAAAAATGATAAAAATCACTTTTGAAGTGAAGTTGCCAGAAAAGTTTATCTTCTTCAAACCAACCACATTCACATTGAAACATAGAAGTGCGTGGCAAGAAAACACAAGGACTGATATAACAAGAGAGAGTCCATTGACCATACCATACTGCATATTCCACTTCTTTGAGAGGCTGTTTTCTTCAGTTTATCTGGCTTTAATTCTCCTATGGCCGATCAACTTGTCTCTTCTTCTTCATTTAGCAGCACTCCTTCGTGGAGATACGACGTCTTTTCGAGCTTTAGAGGAGAGGATGCGCGAACCAATTTGACAGATCGTTTACACAAGGCTTTGATCAAGAAGGGAATCGACAGGTTCATTGATCACCAACTTATACGAGGCGAAGACATATCACCAGCGCTCCTCCAAGCAAAGCAACAAATAGTTCGGGGACGCATTTACAGAACTTGAGTGCGAATTCAAGGACAACGAGGATCAATATATACAGGATTGAACTTTAGCCGAGACATTCTCCCGCTTACTTCCGCTGTAAACAGGATTGATACATGCGGTCATATTCTCGTGGTTTAACATAAGACAGTCTGGTGTGAACATATTTGTGTAGTATCCCATTCCCGCTGCGTTTATGCATGATTTGTTTTTCCTGTGCTCTTTCAGCGAGTGTTTTAAAAGCAATCTGTTTAATTTCTTGATTGTTCATTAATTAAATTTTTAGATTTCAATAATAATTTTTTAGATTTCATTAAAAATCAATTTACAATAGGTTTCAGTATAATGGAAAATGATCCCCGTCTAAGGATTTTAGGATCCTGTAATTGTGACCGTTTATCGTACATTGTGCGATCAGAAAATATTTTAAAATTAAATATAAATAGTAACTAATGAAAACTAACCGTACGATATACAATGAACGGTCACGATCACAAGATCATTAGGATCTCCAAAAAAAAGATCCGACGAAAATCCTTTTCTCAATATAATTATGCTAGCATCTCGTGCGCAATAAAATATATCGTCTTACCTCAAATGACTAAAACAAATTAGCTTACCAATGATGCAAATTGACTGACATGCACCATTTACCACAATTAGCACCAATCTCCCTGCAAGTGTGACTTTGAAACGTTGGTGCTAACGACAACCGTTTATGTTTCCATTAAGTATTCACAACCATATCTTCGTGTTGAAGTCGCTTATATTAATGTTGATCGATGCAATGTAACATATCAGACTATCCAACCACGTTAAAATGTCAAACATTTTATTTTATTTTTTTTGATAGACATGCAACACTACATGTTGATTATCTTTTTAAAAAACAAATCAAAAACAAAAGCGCGTTTAATATTAGAAAATTGTAGAGACTATTCGATGCTCTGATCCAATCTCTCCACACAGATCTTCAGATCTTGCTGTTCCGATTCCCAAATCCAATCCGATCGATCTCAAATCCCCAATTCCTTGTCCCAGAGGCAACAATGGCTGTCAAGCATCGGCACTCGCGCCTTCCGGCTCGCAAAACGTCGACGGCCTCGTCCACGACGCTGGTCCTCACCTTGCTGGTCATGTTCACCTTCGTCATCCTCATTCTCCTCGCCCTCGGCATCCTCTCCGTCCCCAGCGGCTCCTCCGGCAGCTCCCCCAAAGCCAACGATCTCAGCTCGATCTTGCGGCAGAGCGTCGAGAGGTGAGCGACGAGTCTGTTTGCATTCTTTGCTTTGATTGATTCGGTTGGTAATTTGGTAATTATATTGAATTTTGTGGGTTTGTTAGGAATGAAGAAAATGAGACAGGGGAGCAGTGGGTCGAAGCCATCTCTTGGGAGCCAAGAGCTTTTGTGTATCACAATTTCTTGGTGAGCTGAGTTGAGCTGAGCTGCCTTTAATTCTCCCACTCATTGAAAATTTATGATTTTTCTGAAATTTTTGGATTGCATTTTTGTAATTACTGTTCAAGTTGCTGAATTGAGCAATCCATGAGAGTCGTGGATTTTTTTTTTAATAATTGTGCCAATGTATCTTGCATTGTATATAGAGTGAGTAAATAATTGTGTGTAATTTCTTATTTGTAATGGGTAATTGCATTGCATTTACTTTTGGAAGAAATTAATGCTTAATAAGTGCCGGGATTCGATGGAATCTAAGGCCGGCGGAATCTGACCCTGGTTGGCTAATGTTGGCAGACCAAGGAGGAATGTGAATACCTAATCGATCTTGCCAAACCGACTATGCACAAGTCATCGGTAGTTGATAGTGAAACTGGAAAGAGCAGAGATAGCAGGTCTTTATTTCGCACGTAGTTATCTCGTTTCATTTCAGTTATAAGATGTAGTAGGGAAAATCTGTTGTTTTTCTTTTCATTCCCTTGCTTTACGCCTTAATGTGCGGTACAATTGTTTTACCTGTTGTATGCAGGGTTCGTACGAGCTCTGGAACATTTTTGGTACGAGGGCGCGATAAAATTATCAGGAACATTGAGAAAAAAATCGCTAATTTCACCTTTTTACCTGTAGGTATGCTGTTGAGCACATATCCGCCTTCTTATTGATTTTTTTCTTGTGCTTTTTAATGCTTTCTTTTGCCTTCGAAGTTGGAGGTACTACCTTTCTGTGGGATACAATCTTTAGGATATTCATCTATTAATAGTGTAGCTATGTGTGTTTCGTAAAAGTCACAAGCTAGTTTTTAAACCAAATACAGAACAGGGGGAGGGGCTTCAGGTTCTCCACTATGAAGTTGGACAGAAGTATGAACCTCACTTTGACTATTTTCAAGATGACTTTAACACCAAGAATGGAGGCCAACGTATAGCTACGGTTCTTATGTACCTGTAAGTTTCCTCGCGTCGCTGCCTAAATACTCACATTTCTGATGCACTACATCATAGACCCACTTATATCCTTCGCAAATGTTTTCTCCTCCCGTTTGGCGCAGCTCAGATGTTGAAGAAGGGGGTGAGACTGTGTTCCCCGCTGCCAAAGGGAATATTAGCTCTGTGCCTTGGTGGAATGAGCTATCTGAATGCGGTAAAAAAGGACTTTCAGTTAAACCTAAGATGGGCGATGCACTGCTTTTCTGGAGCATGAGGCCTGACGCAAGTCTAGATCCTTCAAGTTTACATGGTTAGTAACTTCTTGATATTTAGCTTTGTGAAGCATCAATTCCAGATTTACGTCATCCTAAAATGTCCCATATGGAAAATGTCGTTTGTTTATTTGCACTTCCTTTTTGAATTTTGTGCATATTTAAAACCTTTCTGCATTACAATTTTGTAACTTTTATTACTTATTCACAAGTATGCTGACTTGTAGTACCTCTGAGTTAACTTCGACTCATGTTTATTTCAGGCGGATGCCCTGTGATTAAGGGGAATAAGTGGTCATCTACTAAATGGATCCGTGTCAGCGAGTACACTATTTGAACTATATTATACAAAAGGTAACTATCTTTACCCAAAATAGATAACTAACAGTACTTAAGGTTTCTGCATTCTGTGAAGCTACAAAGTTCCCAAAATCTGCCACTGACTTGCTCCATGCTCTTGTTCTTATATATGGCTTGGTTCGGGTTATGCTGTTATATGCTATTTCTGCACTTAAATTATATGTATCATTTTCTCAATGATTGGCAGGTTATACAAGTTCTTACGTCGGTGTAGTACTTGTCAATATCTCAAGCCAGAGCTTTTGTACCTGTGCTTCAAGTCTCATTTGTAACGAAGTATACAGGTCGGCGCCTGCATGCCTTAGATTTTGATTACTACAGTCGACAGCTGCTCTACTACTAATTCAATTTTTGTTCAAGAGCTTCTATATTCTTGTTATTATCGCAACGCCTCAATGAAATAAGTTCGATTTTTTTTCTTTTTTGATGGAAATTCCCACTGTAAGAACCCAGAAGGTTTAGAACGTTGAATTGGTGAAAAGAAACAGCAAGAGATGTTCAGGGAAAATAAAAAAAATTACATGTACTAATTATATGTTTTTGAACATTCGTGTTTACTAATTCATTCACGTTATGACATATTTTGGATGGTTCATTGTACATCTTTTATTCCTCGGAGAGCAAGACTCTCTCCTTATTGCTACAAATAAAGACGGGATGATAAATCATATCGCATAATTCTCAAATTATCTCTGGCACTCTCTGCCGCCGGCCCCCTCCCTTAGGCTTACAACAAGAATATTAATTAATTTAGGAATTTTTTTTTAGTACAAAGATATATTTTACGCTAAGGGAGGAGGAGTTCCGCTAAGCCATATAATGGACAACCTAATTTGGTATCGAATTCGTTATCTACGAGATTCGAACTTAACACATTTCAAGTGAAGATGAATATAGTACTGGAAATTAATTTAGGATATTGAATTGAAAAGTTTTCCGATTCTCGTTAGGACACGAGGACATAAAAGTTGAGCTTTCACCACGATAGGCAAAAACCCTAGTCCACAAGAACACTGCTCCTTCTCCTCCTCCAAGAAAACACCAAGACGTACAATACAAGCATCCTTGACATGGCGAGTAGTGCAGATAATATCCCACACGAACTGTTAGCGAACATCGGAAACCGCCTGAACACTACCAGATTCCGTGCGGTCTGTAAGTCATGGCGGTCCTCTATTCCTCCCTTCAAGAACCTGCTCCAGTTACCAGTAGAACTGTCGGTTGCGTTCGGAAAGGACGGCGAATATACTAATTCCGAAGGCTAAACCCTTGTGGAGAGCGTAGTCTATCATCTCGCACCTCCCACCGTAGCCAATTGCCCGCTCTCTTTTGTTTGAAATAATACTCGACTATACTAGCTTTAATCACCAGATTTCACGGGGAATCAACGGAGAACATGGATTTTTCGTAAGAGGTTGGTGTCTAAACTTTCAGTCCCGGACCCTTTCTCTCCCCGACCCTCCCCCCACAAAACCCTAATTGAAATTTCAGGCGGCACTGGCCCTTGCTCCGGCTTGGCAGTGGTGTGTCAGATATGGCAGGTCCGCTGCGTTGAGCTTCAAGTTGGTTGTGACGATGTTGCAGGTAGTTGTGGCTTGATGAGCTGACTAGCGGGTCCCTTCTCATTGTAGTTTAGTTTTGTTGTCTCGCCCAGCTAGTGTTGTGGTCGTGCTACATGGATGGCTGGACGTGATTTTTATCTTGAGCGACGAGTTATGCGGCCTTGTTTTCCAATGACGGCTTCATGTGGTTTTGCTCCTTCGCAATGACTTTATGTGACATCGCTATTTGATGACTTGTAGTTGCAAATACGTATCTGTTGTCCCAATCGTGTTGTAACAGATTAGTATGAGCGGCACTAGTAGTCTAGTTCTCTACGTAACAAGCATGACCTAATACGATGGCGGATAATTCCATGATATAGACCGACAGCAGTTCATGTAACCCTACATACTAGTAACAAAAACTGGGAAATTTGAAATTTGTGTGCATGCGTAGCAAGCTGAAAACAAAGTGGCATTGACAATCCACACCTCCAATAAAAACCAAATTTCACAACGTCGTATTGTTGCCAAAACATGATTCTTTTTCTAAGACAACAGATATTCCCACCAATATTCCTTTATTTATAATGTAGCTGGGGCCTGGGGTCGTCAGCGCTGGGATTTGAAACAACTTCGTATTGTTGCTGAAACACGTTGATTATTTTGAGCGGAAAAATTGGTACAATGTTGACCTGCACCGGCATTGTCGATACCCGTCAAGTGGTTGTTGATCTAGCTTTTGATCAGATTCCTGATGACATACTGCAAAATGCCTCCGTGATCGAAATATGCCAGCTCAACCTGCACGAAAGACGGAACAAGCCAAATTTTAAGCAACCCGAGCTTGATAGGGCAATGAACATACGAAAGAAGCGAAGGGTGATGGAGTGTGTTACCTCTGTATCGAAACGTAGTGTACATACGAAGGACTTGCCATTATCTGTCACTACTGTGACATCCTGACCAGGTCTAATTTCACTGACAGTGCTGGGAAGATTGATGGTGTAGCGTTCCTCGCCGGTTAAACCAAGAGAGTCAGCATCCTCCCCAGTCTTGAAACATAGCGGAATGATGCCCATGCCAACGAGATTACTACGGTGAATGCGCTCAAAGCTCTTTGCTATAACTGCCTTCACACCCTGAAAATTATTATGTTTAAAACAGACTTCGTTAGATATAAGGCAAACATATACTGGAATCGTATGCATAATTAAGATACTGCTAGAGGGCATACCAATAGCATTGGACCCTTTGCAGCCCAATCACGAGAACTTCCACTTCCATACTCAGCACCAGCCAAAATAATCGTATCATGTCCTTCGCTTTTGTACCTCTGTCAATAAAAGTAAAGGAGTCAACATTGCAATTTGCACGTTTAGGTCAGGGTCGAAAGCATCAACATTAAACATCCAATACGAAGGAAAACCTTCCTGAGGAATTAAAATGATTATTCAATAACCTAAGTAAAAGTTGAGATTGAAAGGCATTACCATAGCAGCGTCAAACACAGACAGTTTCTCTCCAGTGGGAATGTGGATTGTTTTGGGACCAACTTCTCCTTTCAAAAACTTATTGACCAGCCGAATATTAGCAAAAGTCCCTCTTGCCATAATCTCGTCATTACCACGGCGACTTCCATATGAGTTGAAGTCTCTTCTATCAACACCACGTTCCAGAAGGTATTTAGCTGCTGGGCTGTCTTTGTGGATGCTACCAGCTGGTGAGATGTGGTCAGTTGTAATACTATCTCCAAAGTTGAGCAAGCAGTAAGCATTCTTCACACCATGAGCACCCGGAGGAGACATGGTCATATCCTTAAAGTATGGCGGTTCATGTATATATGTTGATTTTGGGTCCCAGGCATAAAGAGTGCCAGATGGTACAGATAACTGATTCCACATTGGATTTCCCTTGGTGATTGCTTCATATGTAGCCATAAACATATGAGGAAGCACATTTGATTGCACAACCTGAAAACAGCACGACAAGACCAATATGAATTTCCGATCCCTCTGACTTAAATAGTAGAAACTATTCCTGTGCACATCTTTTCAAAATCTTATAGAATTATATAGCAAGATAGTAGAGCAAATTACTGTTGCCACTTCTTCATTGGATGGCCAGATGTCCCTGAAAAATATCTTCTTTCCATCTTTTCCCGCCCCAATTGGTTCGGTTTCAAAATCAATATCTACCTGCAGCATTGCAAACAAATGAGATACTGCACTAAAAGTCAAATTTTTACAAGCATAAAATCAGCTGATGAGTGCCATAAAAATGCATACAACATAACTCGATACAAAGAGTAACAACTGTCTGCAAGAATCTATGAGTTCCATACCGTTCCAGCAAGAGCATAGGCAACAACAAGGGGAGGAGAAGCAAGATAATTAGCCCTTGTTAAGGGATGCACACGACCCTCAAAATTCCTATTTCCAGATAATACAGCCGCAGCTACAAGATCTGTACATGTGCAGAAAATCAACAACTTAGTCACCATGTAAGACTCCACAAAGTAGTATCTGTATGAGCCCAAACCATAGAGAATATTACCATTTTCTGTAATAGCAGCCGCTACTGCATCATCAATATCTCCTGAATTCCCAATGCATGTCGTGCATCCATACCCAACAATATGAAACCCTAACTGATTCAAATACTTCTGCAACCCACTGCAGAACAATACATGACTTAAGTATACATCACAAACGTAGCGTATCTTTCCAAAAAATAGAGATTCCAAAAATTACCTCTTTTGCAAGTATTTGGTTACAACCCCAGAACCGGGAGCAAGACTTGTCTTAATCCATGGCTTCACCTAATAAAAGGCACAAAAATAATGCAAGGATAGTTAATAAAAATAATCACTATATTTGCCAATGTTATATAATGTAGAGATAAAACTAATCCTTCAGTTATGTGAAATCAAAAGTAATCAGTAGACTAACAAACAGTGGGGCAGCAAGTAATCTTGCGCAATGCAGGCACTTATTTTGTTAATCACACGCAGGCAAAGTGGAAATGGAGTCATTCTGTCTGAATATTCCACCTCAACTGTATGGTAATGCATTTTATATGACACGAAATTCAATGTCCACAACATTCTGTTCACAATCCTAGTATACCAATCTTCTTGTAAATTTATTTCATTTTATTTATTATTATTCCTATAAATGATTACACAGACATGAGAAATGAGCCATAATTAGAGACATCCAACCTCCAATCCTAATTCACAAGCTTTCTTGGCCACCAAAGCAGCTCCAAGCATTACACTAGGATTTGAGGTGTTTGTGCAACTGGTGATAGCTGCAATAACAACATCCCCATGCCTAAGCTGTGCTGGAGTTCCGTGAAAATCGAATTCTACAACTTTACTTTGAGATTCCTTTGGCACAGCAAAACCCTGCAACACATTGCAAGAAACATAAGCTTTTCGGGAAAAGGTTTTCTTAAGTGAGCATTAATCTATAAAGTAATCAAATTCTGGAACATCAATGAGCCCCACAGTTTGCAAGCAGTTCTGAAAGAAAATTTGAGTTAAATTATAGCACTTCTCACCTTAAATCCAACTCTATTGTCAAGGCATGCATGCCAATCCCCTTTCATTTCTTTCAAAGTAACACGATCGTGTGGCCTAGAAAGCATTATTATTCTCAGTGTCATGTCACAAAAGATTGAATCCAATGAAGTGTGCATGTTAGCTTGAGTTACAAAGAAATCCTACCTCTTTGGACCGGATATGCATGGTTCCACATCATTAAGATTTAGCTCAAGATAGGAGGAGTACACTCTCACAATCTGGGGCTGTGTTGAGAAAAATATTCAGAAGTTTAGAATCAACATTACAGAAGATGTTAAATAGAAAGGTCCCAAACGTAGTGGGTGGGTGCTTATATTTTACCTCATTATAGTCAACAAACATCTTATTAGCCCGTAAATAGGATTCTATCAGAGCGACCTGCACGGTGACTTTCATTTCAGCATACAAACAAATGGACAAGATAAATGAAACAGTGTTTAAACAAGCAGTTACCTTGTCATCACTTCTGCCTGTGAGTTTTAGGTATTGCAGGGTGACATGATCCACAGGGAAGAAGCCCATGGTTGCACCATACTCAGGAGACATGTTGGCAATAGTCGCACGGTCTGCTAGTGACAATTCACTCATGCCTTCCCCTGCAAAAGAAAGCAATGGCCAACATCTGAGGTGAGAAGAAACGCAAACCAAGCAGCAGCTGGAGCATCTATCATTGAAACACCAGTACAACTAGATAATATGATTAAGTGTACTGGTTTACCATAGAACTCCACAAATTTGCCAACAACTCCATGCTTCCTCAGCATTTGAGTTACTGTCAGAACCAAGTCAGTAGCTGTCACACCATCTCTCAGTTTTCCTAGTAATTTAAACCCAACAACACCAGGCAGGACCATGCTCATGGGCTGTATAGAAGAAACGAGAGATACGAACAAAAAGAGTAAATGTATAGTTCTGGATAAGAAAGTGAGAAATGTGCCACAATAAAACTCAAGTTGTACTGTAAATACTAGGGTCAGCAAAATCAAAAGAACACATCAAGTTATTCATGAAAAAGCAGGCAAGGATCCATGGATGCACTTCTTTACCTGGCCAAGCATAGTGGCTTCTGCTTCGATACCACCCACTCCCCAGCCAGCGACACCTAATCCATCTATCATAGTCGTGTGTGAATCTGTCCCGACAACACTATCAGGATAAAGCAAGCCATCTGTGTTGAACACAACTCGACCAAGGTATTCCAAATTAACCTGTAATCAGCATTTCAATTTATTTATCTTAGGTTAGCATCCTGGAATAATATATTAGAGATTCAAATTTGTGTTCCCCAAAATGATCGAATTACCTGGTGAACAATCCCTGATCCAGGAGGAACAACAAGCATGTTATGGAACGCATTTGATCCCCATTTCAGAAAACCAAACCGTTCTTTGTTTCGCTGGAACTCAAATTCCATATTTGCCTGCACGGCATTTTCTGATCTTGCAACATCTACTTGAACCGAGTGATCAATGACAAGATCTACTGGGACCTATATTCATTAGAAGCCAACATTGATACCCTTTGAAACGGTTAAAAGAAAAAATAAAATGGCATGCGTGTAATGCAACCGGAAAGACAGTCAAGTTATTATAAACAAGAAATGCCAATGTTAAGCAACAATGCACGCATTTATGTAGCTCACCAATGGGTTAATCTTGTTAGAATCCCCCTTCAGATTGTTCATGGCATCACGCATACAAGCTAGATCAACAACAGCTGGTACTCCAGTAAAGTCCTGAGAACCAGATGAACAACACATTGATAATCCATGTAACGCTAAACTGCGATAACTTCAAATTTAAAGACTGACAATCCACACACTGATTTACCTGAAGCAGGACTCTAGCAGGTTTGAATGGTATCTCAACCTGCTTGGGAGAAGTGTTCTCCCAATCAATAATTTTCTCAACATCATTACTCTTCACTTGAAACTCATCACAGTTACGAATTGCGGATTCAAGAAGGATCTTAATCGAGAATGGCAGCTTCTCTGCAACATATAACACCAATACCCAAGTAAATTTCACCACAAATTTTCACACTTTCAAGTGAAATAAACAAAATTAACACTGTTTCCCTGCAGTAATCCAAAAGCAACTACTTTCCACAAACAAAAACCACAAAGATTCAAACTTTCTACTCATTACCCACACTTTCTCGGCAACCAAACAGAAAATACAGAAAACCAACCAGAGAAACAAACAAACCGATTCTTGGATCGTTGAGAGCTGGCAAGCTGTAGTATTTGCCGAATTCGCCGCCGTCCGGCTTCTCAAGCGCCGTCAGTATCTTCTGAAACGGATTCGCCGACGCTGAAACCACCCCAAAGCATAAAAAATTAAAACTAAAAACCAATAAATAAATAAATAAAAAGCTCCGATCAAGAAAATAAAACAAATTAAAAGATCGAGCTGGTGGATAGTGACTGTACCCATTTAGCGATAAAGATCCGAGCTTTCGGTTTCGATTCAATTCGAACTCGGGCCGACGATTCGAGAGAGTGAAGTGAAGGAGGAAGGGGAAAACACTTGCAACGTTATCTGGAGTTCTTTTTTTGTTATTGATATTGTCGTGTGTTCTTGGTCCGATGAATATCCTGATAGTGGAAGGGCAATGATTCCGCTTTTTTTTTTTTTTAACGATAGATTACAAATAGTTAGATATGTGTTTTAAAAAATTAATAATTTAAAAAAAGGCATACCTGTTATGATAAAAAATTTCTTATGATTTGCTGTTGAACTGTTGGTTGGGTGACTTTTGGGTCAGTGATGATAAGGCCAAAAGATGGGCCTTTGGATCCTTTGGAAGTGGACGGCCTTCAAGAATCTTGATGCCTTTTGCTATTTTTAGAACAAATTGGGTTGCGGTTGGGTGGGATATTAATCTCATTTTTTGTGAGGTCTTAATTTTTTGAAATATCCAAAACAAATGTTGGGATTGGGAAATTCCTATACTTTATTTATTTTATTTATAGTTCGAAATTGCTTAAGCTTTTTATTTATTTTATTTTATGATATAAATGGAATATACTGGCGTATCAGAAAAATCACAATTGGACATTTGAATCAGTGAGTTATTGCATTTACAAAGCGTAGGAATAGCTCTTGCAGATAAGGGAGGCAAACAATGTCAGAATAAACCACTTTTGAGCAAAATATGGTCATAGAGTATATTGGCTCCTTATGTATCAGAAAAAAATAAAAAAATAAAAAAAATCACAGTTTGACACGTGAATCAATAAGTAATTTTGCATTTACAGAATGTAGGAATAACTCTTGCAGATGAAGGAGGTAAACAATGTCAAAATAAACTAATTTTGAGCAAAGTATGGTTATAGGTATATTAGCTCCTAATGTATTAGAAAAATCACAATTTAACACATGAATCAATGAGTTATTTTGCATTTACAAAACGTAAGAATAGCTTCTTACATATAAGAAGGCAAATAATGTCGAAGTAAACTAATTTTGAGCAAAAGATGGTTAATACAGTGGCTACTAATTGCCATATTGTTTTCCACCTCTTTAATTGTTTAATTCCTTATAGAAAAGCAAGTACAACCAAATTAAAGAAACTTGCATTAGAACCATTAATGACAAGTTACCTCAACCATCACTGTCTTTCTCTAATCTGAAAGTGATTATACTATGTAATCGTGATTATCTTTTTCAAATATACATTTCTTATTACGTGCAACCATCGTACTTTTAAGAAATGTAGACACAACGCGAATATCTCCGAAGTTAGAAGACACTGCAAAAATAAGGGTTGTTAAAACCGTCCCACTCACTTTTAAGGGGTTTTTGTATCTAGATCCAAAAACATAGGTAGTTTTTGGGACTGAGTCCAGTTATCTAATTACATATTTTGATATCAATTTTGCCCCTTCAGATAAATATATTTAATTTCTTTAAATTTTTTTTTTTATCATTTATTCAGTTTTTAAATTTTGAATATTTAAATATTTAAACTAAAATATTATCTAGTAACTACCTACGATTTATGAAGAAAACAAAACCGATATAATCTAGTAACTACCTATTGTATAGGAAGAAAAATGCTTTATACCTACAAAGCAGATATAATCTACCTGCAAAACAAAAATAAACTACCTATTGTATTGGAAGAAGCGGAACATAGAAATATAAATATGATATGATTTATCTCCATTAAAGGAACGAATTTAGAGAGAAGAACACAAAAATATCACCCATGAAAAGAAGAGACAAAAAAAAGGAGGATTGATTCCATGATCTAACAGAGAGAATTGTTTGGAAGAAGGGAAGGAGGGGGGATGAAACGGACTGGGGGTTGAGGTGATTATATGCCTATAGCTAATCCTACAATTAAGGAATTAGTTAAACCACAAATAATCCCATAATTAAGAAATTTTGTGTATTTACTATAATTCATAAGTCTAAGGGGTAAATATGGTATAAACCACAAATAAGCATACGTGGAATCTCAATTATTGGACCTATTTCAATGGAGTGGACTAATCCTACTAATGGCTCACAAAATTGGATTTATATCCAGTTATCCCCACTTTTAATTACAAATTAGTGTACAATATTGCTTCTACTTAAAAAAAAAAAAGTTGAGATAGTGATAGAAAATTAAAGAGTTATAGCCATTGATACTCACATCATGGAGATCAACCCCCTTTTCACGAGACAGAGACCCCTTTTCACGAGACAGAGAGTGGGCAATAGGACATTGTTTGGACTTGGCAAGGGAAGCATGAATTTGTAACTTGTGACAATGTTTTACGACTGTAAAAGTGGCGATTCCAAGCCAACGAGATTTCTTGTTTTGCGAAAGTCTGTTGGGGGAGGGAGTGAGGGCGAAGAGAACGTCTATCGTACACAGTCTTATTTTTGCTTTTAAGACCGTACAAACAATAATTCTTACTACAAAAAGAAATAAGAATATTTATTACATTTCCAATGTGAAAATATCTGATACATATTAAGTTGAGTAAAGAATTTCTCAATTTAACTTTGGACAGTAAAAGATATGGTAGATTTTCACAGTGATATGAAGGTCATTTAACTATTTTTTTCTTGTACCTAATTACTACATGCATGGATTAGATTACGTTATCAACCAACCATATCTCTCTTATGAGGATTCACATTAGAAATAGTGGATTATTTCACAAGTTGTAATAAAAGTAGGCAACATGATATGCAATTCCTATTTTTAAAGTATATTAATAAAAAAAAATAAAGAACAATTAACATTTATGATTTAAGTAAAATAATAATGTCACATGATTTTATGTCAAATAAATCGGAAATTTGTTTCAAATTTTGGCCTTGAAAGATAACCAACAATTAAGTGTCATTGAATATTAATCTACATATTAATTCTTTATTATTGAGGTTTGGACCTGATTATAATGCAATTAACAATTTATTGACTAATTGTGTCACAAATTCTTGGACGATCATTGTCATGATCAAGGGTCAGTGTTTAGCTTAACCACCAATTCATCAAGTGGAAGAAATAAGATTAAGAAATCGTGAGAGAGCATTGACATTAATACATGCATGTATGACTTTCCCTCCAACTAATTAAGAGCACGCGGTGTAGATCACAAAATCTATTGGCCAAAGGAAAAAAATTCGTAGGGTGGTGAAGTTGCAGGTGGTCTTGCCTGTATAGAGTGTCTTAGTCTTTCTTTAAGATCGGTGGATTCTATTTTTGGATTAGCGTAGATTTTGTTTGTGCCGCGTTTGGCGGATGATGTGGTTTCACTTTTGAGCGACAGTTTGATGTCGTCTCGTCTTTGCGCAATGATTATGTGATCTTGTCTTTCAACAGTGACTTTATATGGTTTCGCTCTCTAGCAATGACATTGTGTGGCCTTACTGACACATTTGTATTGCTGCATCTGTGCTTGTGGTAGTCGTGTAGAGGTTTTTAATTAATCGCTTATTTGTGCAAATTCATTCCAAATCAATGTGTCGGTCACTAAAACAATATACCCAATTGGCACCCTTGTATTTATTTGTAATGATCAATGAAATGCCACTATCGTTTCTTGTAAAAAAAAAAAAAAAAAAAAAAAAAAAAAAGGGATCACAACATGTGTATGAACATTGGTATATATTTTCCTGCAGACATTTGTTTTCGAATTCACAACCCTTCAATTTAAATAAATATAATGTAAATTATCCTATTGTTTACAAAGAAAATGAAAATATCAGTTCATATTTTATAAATCACACAGTTTGACACACACAAAAATATACAAAACGAAAAGTTTATGTACGTGTTCTATGTGGGTAGAAATATTGATTACTTCCAAAGGGAAAATGCATATACTTTCCAATCTTCGTAAATATATATTTGATGCAACACAAACCAATCAAAAGGGCTACCAACGTAATCCTTTGAAGAATAAGGTCTAGAGTCCACTAGAATTTGAGAGAAATCCCAAAGAGTTGAAATTGTTTAATGATTGAATGAATACAATTGTTACATCCAACGACTTATAAATAAAAAATTACAACTACTTGGAACTACTCAAAGGACTATAGGAATTAAAACAACATTAATTAAACATAATTGGACGAAAACCAAAAGGTCCGATTTTTATTACGAAACTTTAAACGGTGTTTTGGAAGCCAAAACGGCCTCAGACAGCCAAAATTTGTCATACTTAATTGCATGGCAGCGTGCTTGACCCATGATGTCGTTTTCTTTTCAAAAATGTACCACGGGTCCAAACTAGAACTCATACTCCAAATTTGTAAATTTCTGTTACGTCCCTTCGCTTTGTCAATTTTAAAATGCTTCTTTTTCTTTGCCTTTCCTCGTAGATATTTACCCCATTTTGTACTACATCAATATTAAGTCATATAGACTTTCCTTTGAGAATGATATAAGAACCAACTAGTATAGTATACGTATTGCATCAGCTTATATGCATCTTCAGTAATAATTGAGTGCTCTAATGAAGCTAGAACATACGAACTTATGGATCTTAATAATTTATTCGTGGTGAAGGCAATGTAAATGAAAGGCAAAGAAGAAAAGAAAGTTCTAGCTTCATCAAGTACTTTAAACTTTCTTGACTGCAACTTCAAAATGATTACAAGATCTTTTATGTATACATGCGTGCATGTAATACATATTATTATATAATTATATTCACTTCCCTTGGATGAAAGTACACAAGATTACAGTATCCAGAACTCTCTTGGTGTCATCATGGAGCATCTACAACTTTCGGCATTGACACTTGACAGAGCCACCCCAACTTCCTCAATCTTTTCGCCAACTTGCAAAATCTCTTTCTGGATCGATTTAATTTCTAGAGGTATATATTATTGTTGTCTGCTGCCATTGCAAATCTACAAAATTGAACATGACACAGGACTTTTGAACAGTAGTATTCATTTTTCTTGAAAATTATAATGGATGTATCATAAGTAGTCAAAACCGTTTAAATGCTAAATACAATCGTTCACGTCTATAAGTCACAACGTTAAATATTAATGCGATGTATAAAGTGCATAATTATAATATTAAGAGTTAAAAGTCACTCACACAAACATAAGCCACACACACTCAAGGTCCAATATATAGCTAGCTTTAAGTTTAATTGTGAGCCTAGAAGGGTGTGGGATGGTCAGCATGGGAAAAACCATGCGTGCCTCGAAGAGCAAGAAGAAGCAGTCGCCTTAATTAATTCAATTGTATACTTATTCAGAAAATTGGGTTTTCTTCTTCCAACCGCTTAATTTGATCAGATGGTTCTCAGAAGTTCTTTTTTGGTCAAGTAGATATTTTATATTTACAAAATCTTATAACCACGTCAAATAAGACTGCTATGCATGCATGCATTTCTAGTATATAAAAGTCAATAAATGACGTAATAAAATTGCAAAAGTAGAATGTTCATACTTCTTGTTTAGGTATACTACTACAATGTAAGTTAGGCGAATTGAGAGAGAACCAATCCGAGCTCGGATTTTCTGGTTTGCTTCTCTTTCACATAAGTTCTTGGCGAGAGGCTGTTAGCAATTTTTTTTGTATTGGCTACCCGTACAATGGTTCAATTACTTATGAGATATTTTAAAAGACTTTCGACACTCAATTAGGTTTAAATAAACTTTACGCAAGCTCAATTTATAAGCTAGCTAGTATTTATTTGCATGCGTGAGACTCTTTACTACACTTAGCACATATAGACGATTCAAGTTTTGACAGACACCAAATTTCAAGTTTTGAACTGAGTTCGAGAGGTAGCTTGGTTTGAACCCATCAGAGCCACACCGCTTATCATTTGCTTGTCCAAAGTTGAACATTTTGAATGACTCGTTGGACTCTTACATACAAATTGCATCACTCTTTTCTTTGAGCTAAATCTAATATAAATTTTTTTGTCTTGTAGTTGACACCCTTTTTATTTTCTTGTTGCTTTTCTCATTTTTATCTAGCTATTGAAGTGAATAAATAAATAAAAATAATTAAGAGGTAGATACAAGTAAATGAGAAAAAAAAATGAAAACATGAGTGTTGAAGGAGAAAACAGGTATATAAACATAATTTCATTAAAAGTTTTTTTATACAATTGATATTAAAAAATAGGACAACTCTACGTCCGCTTTGCGAAGGTTGAGGAGAACGTCTATTGTATTCCGCTTCACTTTTGTTTTGCAAAGATATTGTTTTCACAACTCGAACTTGTAACTTTTCCGTCACAAAAGAGCAACTTTTCCATTGCACCAAAACTTACTCTCATACAAGTGATATTAGAAAAATGTAAATCCTAACATAAAATCTCGGATGCTAAGATGAATACTTTTTAACCAATTAGCCAAAATGGTCCCTGAGATTTGTATAACTCTTCACTTTGGTCCCTGAGATTTCAAATCAATAGAAGTGGTCCCTGAGATTGTCTACCATCCATCATTTTGGTCATTCCGTTAAAAACTTAGTTAAGTGTTCCGGAGCTCTTAGCCGGAAGTTTGGGCAATTTTCAAAGCTTCATAACTCAATCGTTTCTTAACCAAATTCGACCCATAATATATCAAAATGAAGATAGGAAAGTGTAGAATAAGATTATACCTATTTGGAAGCCCAATGGTTGCCGGAGATGGTCAGAAAATAGCATCAAAGTTGACTAGTCCGAGGGAAAACTGGAAAACTCGCCAGAAACTGGACAAACTTTAAATGTTCATAACTTCTTCAATACTCAACGAAATCAAGTGATTCAAAAACAAAAATTATACATCTCGACGAGACAAAGAAAAGTATGATTTTCGATTTTTAATCACTTGATTTCGTTCAGTATTGAAGAAGTTATGAACGTTTAAAGTTTGTCCAGTTTCCAGCGAGTTTTCCAGTTTTCTTTCGGACCAGTCAACTTTAAGGCTATTTTCCGATCATCTCCGGCAACCATTGGACTTCCAAATAGTTATAATCTTATTCTGCACTTTCATATCTTCATTTTGATATATTATGGGTCGAATTTGGTCAGGGCCGGCCCTGAGAATTTGGAGGCCCTAGGCAAGCCTTCTAAGCAGGGCCCTAAAATTCTCTGATCTCCGGTTCTTTGTATATTGATTTGTATAAAACAAAATTGCTAAATACATAAAAAGTTCTATTTTCACATCAAATATCATTAAAAATTAATATCAAAAGAAGATAAATATACAAACATTATTTAAACATTACACGATTCATGTTTTTAGACACAAATGAACTAAATGTTTGTAGTCAAGAGTTTAAGATTGAGAGTGAAGAACAATAAAACTTGATGATCAAGAGAGTAAATAACAACAAAACTTAATTGACGAGTATAATAAATTCAACGCCAATTGTTTCTCTTGTGTTTTTTTTTTCCTTCTAAAATCAACATCACACTAACGAATTGAATATTAAAATAATCCATTGAATAAAAAGTTATTGAAAAGAAAAATATAAAATTCAAAGTTTTGATTACCTTAAAGTACAATCTTTAAGATCATATGATAGTTGTTTTAAACATTCAATAGAAATAGAGAGAATAGGAAGTTAGTTTAAACATTCGATAAAAATAGAGAGAATGAGAAGTTGAAAGAAAAAAGATTGCAAAGAGACTTGAGTTTTATAACTTTATATGCATTTGGACAGATGGATTGTCAGTAAATTTGAAAAACAAGAAAAATCTAGTGACTAAAAGATAGCTTTGTGTTTCAAACTCAACACCCCAAAGAAAAATGAAGCCAACATTTCCAATGCACTAACAAATGAATTATGATATTTCTTACTTTTTTTTATATTTATATGTTAATTACAGGATATAATATTTTTTTGGAGCCCTTCCCAAGGGGGGGGCCCTAGACGGGCGCCTACTTGGGTTACCCTCAGGGCCGGCCCTGAATTTTAAGAAACGATTGAGTTACGAAGCTTTGAAAATTAGCCAAACTTCCGGCCAAGAGTTCCGAGACACTTAACGGAGTTTTTAACGGAATGTCCAAAATGATAGATGGTGAACAATCTCAGTGACCACTTCTATTGATTTGAAATCTCAAGGACCAAAGTAAGAAGTTATGCAAATCTCATGAATTATTTTGACTAAAAAGTCTTAAATTATAAACATCTCGGCATTTTCTTACAGTTTTATTTATTTGAACATTAATTTATCCGGTATATCCAATGGCAGAAATCACTCTTCCCACTTGTATAAAACAAATATAATACATTTTGTATGAACATTCCTCAATCTGCCACGTTTTTGGTCTATTCAATTGAATCTAAATATTAAGTTAAAACGTACCTATCTGTTGTTTGGTTCGTTTTGGTTGAACACCTAGTTACTCCACTCAAACCAACATTGTAATGGTACTTCCATTTTGAGGTGGCAGGCAGGAATTCTTGGCAACATACCATATTTGGGAAAACCTACTAACCAAAGCAACCCTGATCAAACCTAAACTTTCAATAACATTTAAAAAAACAAAATTAAAATTAAAAAAGAATAGATTTGTGGGATCATTTTTTTTATACAACTTTGACACATATTTATATGAGGCTTTTTAGAACATAATTTATAAATCATCTTTACAAAAAAATTAGCCAAATCCAGCGATTATAAGGTTTCATAGTTGGGTGATTTTGACAAAAATGATATTTAAGAGAATATCTAAATGACAGCCGATTCAAGCCTTTGAAACAAATTATATAATAAATTTTACAAAAACATATGTAAAAAATTATATATAAAAAGTGATGTCACAAATTCGTCTTCCATCAAAATATTGCAAGAAGAAGAAGATATTTTCGTTGCCTTTTGCTTACCCTGTGGAATTATTAAAACAAAATTTCAGCGGTGACCAATCAATTTGGCACCAAATCTCACAAAAAACCAACCCCACATCCTTGACTCTTTCTTTCTCTCGCCTTCCTTCGTCTGTTCTGGTTGAAAAACGGGTGATGGAAAATTAAAAATCAATTTGCAGTGACGAGTTTTGTGGGACGATTTTACAACCTGAACAGCTTGATCATTTGTCAAAGGAGAAGCTTCTTGAAGTTAATCTCTCTCTCTCTCTCTCTCTCTCTCTCTCTCTCTCTCATGCATTTTCTGAAACCAAAATTACCGTTCTTTTTCTACCAAGCCTATATTTTCTTTGATCCACGAGCAATTATAGTTGTGATGGAAGAAAAACAGAGCTTAATGACCTAGAGAGAGAAAGCGATAGAGAGAGAAACAAAGAGAGATTTCTGTCAAACGAGAAAAAAAAATAAGAGAGCTTTAAATGCGAGTTGGTTGATGTGGTTTTCATTTTCCCTTCTTCTCTTACGGACTAAGCAATACACCTTTCCATCCATCTTCCCTTTATATACAAATCTCTATATGTACACATATTTATATAGAGGCAGATATTCAAAGCTTTGAAAAGGGTTTTAAATTCATTCATATTTTTGCTTTAAACTCAACAAACATTTAGCTACAAATCCAAAAGCCTTGTTTTTCTTCTATAAACGCAAACAGCAATGGATTTTATTGCGCACCCATCTCGTTTGCCTCCTTCCTATTCGTTTTCGTTGGGGAATTTCGTCGAACGGGTCAAGGATTTCTGCAACTTCGCCGTCTCTGCGGTTCTCGGGAACGTTTTCTCTGCGATCTTCACCTTCTTCTTTGCATTAGGTTCGTTTTATTTTTTTTTTCTGAATTGGGTTCTGCTTGTTTGTCGAAAGTTTCTGTCTTTCTTTTGTTAATGCATTAAGGGGTGTTGATTTCTTGATCTGTTTCTGTGTGTTTTGATGTGGGTATATCGCAAATTTTGCAATGAGTTGGATTTTGGCTCTTGGGATTGTTAATTTCTGCAGGAAAGATCAATTGGGTCTCTGTTTCTGTGACAGACGAAATTATCTCAATGATTGCATGCATTTGGATTCCTGAATTTTGTTGGAGAATTGAATTGAATTTCGTATGCCATTGTTTTGTTAAATTCTAGCTCCAATCAAAGTTTAAAACTTTACTTGTTGACAAAAGGGGTTCTTTTGGGAAAGCTTGTTCATCAATTTTTTTTATATTTATTTATTTATTTTGTTGGTGTCTGGATCCTTGGAACATAGCGTGTTTTGAAATTAAGAACTGTATGTTATGTTGTCCCTTCCGGGACATCCGATAAAATTGGAACGATACAGAGAAGGAAAGCTGTAAGTTATGTTAGATTTTGACTAATGGAAATGGCAATTTTTGTGTGCAGTGGGCACCACGTTAGGAGCAATGACTGGAGCTTTGATAGGGCAAGAAACTGAGAGTGGATTTGTAAGAGGAGCTGCAGTTGGAGCAATATCAGGAGCTGTTTTTTCAATTGAAGTGTTTGAATCTTCCCTTGTTCTTTGGAAATCAGATGAATCAGGAATTGGGTGTCTTCTGTATTTGGTGAGCAATTAAGATTTTGGGGACCCCTATATTTATATGGTCAGGTGGTCACTGCCCCAAATGCCTCAAATGTTTGGTTCTTTAGAATTCCTGAGTTGGTGTATTTGATCTCCAAAGGTTTAATTAAGTAGCAAATGCCAGTATGCCTAATTCGTGTTTTCGTGTAATCTATGCAGATTGATGTCATTGCTAGTCTCCTAAGCGGTAGATTAGTCCGTGAGCGGATTGGCCCGGCCATGTTAAGTGCAGTGCAAAGTCAGGTAATTTCAATGCTTAGATGCCAGTTTTTATGTTAGGCAACATAAACTCCAAGAGGTTCATTCATGTGCTTGCTAATTCCTAATTAACTATTCGTATTCGTTGTTCTTTATCCAGATGGGTGCTGTGGAATCAACCTTTGATGAGATCCCCAACATCTTCGACACCGGTGGCTCCAAAGGGTTGCCCGGAGATTCAGTTGAAAAGATCCCGAAGATCAAAATTACCTGCCACAACAATGTGGATGCTTCTGGGGAGAAAGTCTCCTGTTCAGTTTGTCTTCAGGTAAAAAATCTTAAAGAAACCATCTTTTTTCGCTCATAAGCGATATAATTAGTCTCAATTTCGAACTTAGTGATTGACATCGTGAATTTTGTTTACATGATCAGGATTTTCAGATTGGAGAGACAGTAAGAAGCTTGCCACACTGCCATCACATGTTTCACCTGCCTTGTATAGATAAGTGGCTCCTAAGGCATGGCTCATGCCCTCTCTGCAGAAGGGATCTGTGAATCTGATGATCTTCTTGTAAATTACCATATGAGTAAAATGTTCTTTTATTGACTGCACAAATTTTGTACCCTTTTCATCTGTATTATTATTCACCAGGCTGCTCCAGTAGTTTCATGCTATACACTATGAGTTCATGTATAAATTTTTTTATTTTGGTAGTTTTAAGTTTTTATTGCACAATATCCCCTACTTTTTACTGTTTTACAGCACCCTTTTGGGAATTTGGATCCTCTTGGGACCTTAGCGTCAAGAGCCTAAGGATCAGAAAATCTAGATCCTTGGTTTGTGTGAAAGAGAAATTAAAGCTTTTGATTTATGTGAGGTGAGTCAGCAGAATGAGTTAATGAGAACTGCTGAATTTAATTTGAGTAGTCTAAATTAACTAGTCTTTGACGAGATACTCGAGATTTTGTAAACGTAAGATCTTGGAAAATGCTAGGAGAACCATCGAATTTTTGCACATTTATAACGGTCTATCTGAGTTCGAGCTGAAACATGAATTTAATTCGAATGCCAGATTTTGTCTGCAAAAGTAAAGATGTCAATAACTATTTTAGCATGGTCTCAACTGTAGTGCATGCCACCATGCCTCCCTTTCAAGGGTAAGTCTTTTCAGGTCCACCGATACCAGACGATGGGGGATTTGAATACAGGATCTTCAGTAATAAACGCTTTTATTTATTTAAGTTACGAATTATGTGCGTTATGAAGATCAGTTAAATCTTTAATCTTATCCCTAACCCCACTTTAACCCACAGAAATTGGGCTTAGCTTTCCAATAACATAATGCTTACTCCAATAACTTCTCTTCTGGTGCAAGTGATTTGAGAATTAGTTGGCTCCAACACTTTGAGATATTTTGGTTTAAATTTTGCTGACAAAGTTATCTCATCGGGTCGGTAGGAACTTCATACCACACTGGAAAACACATTTCTTTTGGTTATGGTGTGTTTTGTTTCCACGCATATATTTTTTTTGTTTTGCTTCCAAGCCACTTTTTTTAAGTACAAAATAAAAAAGCCACTTGTGTGGATACCTTATCATTATAGCAAAGTGATTTCCGCACATATTTTTTCGTGTTCTGCACATAAAAATTAAAGACGGACGAAAGAAAACTCATGTAAGCATGAGAATAAAACTTTGACAAATCATTCTTCATCATTTTATTATAAGACATGACGCGACATGAACACGAATTAAATTTTCTTAGTGCATGTCATTTACTGTGTTTGCGGCCGGATCATACACCCTGCCGCCCAATTAAGCGTCAAGCGATTTTGATCTTACTTCCTCATTACTACATAATCCACAAGAATATATGATGTTTCATTTATGAAATTCGTATTTGGTGACTTTTTACCCTGTGCAATGCAACAAGCAATGACAAACTTTCTAACCAGAAAAGTAGATGTAATCTTTTCCTGTTTTTATACAATATATCAGATTTTAATCCTATTCTTGCAAGACTGGAATAAACTCTGACTCAAGTCAGTTGTGAAGAATAATCTATCGTACCTGTAAATTATTAAACAAGTAGGCCAAATCTTAAAAGTAACCTCGTCATCTACCACTAATAAGATGAGGAAAATAAGAAAAACAGATTCCTGGGATTGTTGAGGAAAATAAGAAAAACAGATTCCTGGGATTGTTTAAATAAAGAACAATAATACTAATAATTCAGGCAATGCTCAGTGTAGATGCTTGTTTTATTGATTGATTGATTTATTTATTTGAGAGTAATACGGACATTAAGTAAGATCTTTCATAATAGTGTGAGTGAGTGTGATACTTATATATAGAAATAAGGCAATCTGAGTTTGATTCCTTAGAATGATTTAGTAGATAGGAATTAAGTGTTATTTGTAGAATTACAAAATCTATTCAATATAACATTAAAGCTACCTCGTCACCTACACTAAGTCAGATTAGATATACATTGCAATTTCTTATTTATGTGAGTCAAAGATTTTTTACAACTACTTCGAGATACTATTGACATGTTTGCCTAACATGAATGAAAGAAGTAATGAATTGGGGAAGTAAAGAAACGAAATCGTATCAACTAGTCCACTCTAGTTGATTTGATTATAATTTGTTAGGTATTAGATTACAAATTTTAAAAGAGAACTCATGTTTTTTCAATTATATGTGTGTTAACACATAAAAGGTTAAGAATTAAAATGATTCATAATAAATGCATGAAACTGAAGAATCAAATCATTCTAATTTTGTTTCCATGTAAAAGAATGTCATAAAAATTTATCAAAGTATTAGCCACTAGGAGACCAAATTTTAAACTAAATTTGAAGATCAAATGGTCTGTCACTGATTAGAAATAAAGACGTTAATTAACACTTAAGTAATAATCTAATCATTAACAACCATATCATCTAATTTACAAAATTAGTTCAAAATTTTAGTTTTTCTACTATTACATTATGATCTTAATATTCTTGATATACAGCTTGTTTATATTTTATTGTGGATTCATGCTTTTGGCCTTTTCAAGTAAACTTTTCTTTTGTTTTACCTTCTGAAATGAATGCGACTAGCTAGCTAGCTACCTCACCTGCATGTACTTTGGTTCAATCTCGAGAGAGAGAGAGAGATCTGCCATCTCAAGTGAGAAGTCACACTCGCACATGTATGATGCATGCAGATCACCTTCAACATATCTCAACTCAAATCATGTGATCTTCTCACATGCTGCCCTTTTTACAGCTTTTTGCAAAATCATGATCACCCGCAAAGAGCCATGGTCTCAAAGTAATTCACGTGACTTTTGAGGCATATAATTCCAAATGGTCGATCGTAGGACTTGATGCATGCATGCATGCAGGGAAAGGGAATTAATCCACTTTCATTTTGACAAACTGCTCGGACTGTTAATTTAACGAATAACGAAGAAAACATCGCCACTCATTCACTCTCGTCAACTAGGTTTTCTTCAAATAGACCTCGAATGCATGCAATTATAACTTTACTTGGAGCAGCATCAGGTGGGGTGCCTGATAGATTTGAAGGCACAAGAAAGTCTAAGACCTTGTTCGGTGTCCAAGATTTAATTTAAGTGTTTAAGGTATATTGAAATATACAAATTTGTGTCAAACTCAAACGTACTCATTAAAGAAAGTTATTCATTTCAACTTCGCAGAAAGTAGTAGTATTAAAGACATAGTAAGTTTCCTTCATATCATATATCTTTCTAATATTTTAAGAATAAAAAACCATTCTCATATATCTTCAGTATACCTTGAATTTTATTTGGTACCCAATCCATTCCACATTCCAAATCCTAGACGTCATATGAACCCTCTCCAAAGCAAGAGACGAAGAAAGAGCACTGAGTTCGCCAAAGTGACAAAAGAGGTAGGGGTGAGCATTGTGTCTAAAGTTAAAAGGAAGAGAAGATTGATTCTTGGCTGCGTGATATGCATGAACAAGACTCTTGATTTATAGTCACATGATCGGTCAAACCTCCAATATTTTCATAGAATACGATCCAAATAAATGATCTTTCTAGTATTACAGACATTTGTTAATTTTCTCTAGCAATTAAAAACACAATTTATGGGGATAAGCTTGAATGTACCAATAGCTGGATTGTTTTAATGGAACCTGTCCTTGGTTGTGAGGCTAAATTTGCTGTGAGTTTTGAAAAGTATTATTCACACACTTATTTTTATCTCTTATATATTGTTGTTAATTTTTTGTATTGATCTTCTTCAGTTCATTCGATCCGACGATAAACATTTAAAAAGGTGTGTGGAAAAGTAAAAAATTGAGTGTGCGGACTCCTAAATTTTCTAGGAAGTTCAAGTTTTGTAATGTGACAAAATGTCAAACTCCCTTATTTCTAAATTTTCTAGGAAGTTCAAGTTTTGTAATGTGACAAAATGTCAAACTCCCTTATTTGTTACAACCAATCGCTACAACAGTATAATACAAGTGTAGTAATTATAAATTCCATTCCCAAAAGAATCTTAATGCAAACCAAACACCAGGGACAGGACATTGGTGTCTAAAGCATCCAAAGCTAAGGTCATGTTTTCCATTTTTTTAATTTTCTAAATTGATAATCAGGTCAATATACAAAACAAAAAGCACGTGACGACATCGTATCGTTTCATATCTAGGATTTAGAATAATAATTAATTTCTGACATTTAGCTGTCCATCACTCGTATACATAAATAACAAATTAAATAGCATCACGTCAATTCTCTTGGAATTAATTATAAGAAAATTAATGAAAATGATTTGAGAACTTTGAGTTTTAAAATAAAGGGTAAAATGAATAGTACTAAGATTGATTTTTTAGTATAAAAATATGGTTTTTCGTTAAATTGAATAGTACCAAGAGCTTGTCGTTAAAATTCTCTTAATTATATAGGTGAATCAGTCGTTTTGTATGCATACTCTACCAATAAAAACAGGTAATGCTATGTATGATAAATTTGTAAATTATATAATTTGTCACCAATAAGAAATAAGTACATTAATTAACACTTAAGTGATAATCCAATCATCAACTACTATGTCATTTTATTTACAAAATTTAGTCTACATATTAGTATTCCTATCATTACCAATAAAAACAGTCCATTTTCATTTTATTTCTACCCTGACCACCATAACTATAGTGTATGCTTACTATACACCTAATCATTTATCATGTGCATTTTACCTAACTCTAGTTAACTTTTACACTAAATGTTACATTTTCAATTTTGAAAAGATAGACACGTGTCAGTTATTAAGTGTATAGTGAGCATACACCAAAGTTTAGGATGGTGAGCAAAAATGCTCCCCAAGATTATATTAGTTTATATCTAAAGACTTGAAATATTTGACAACTTAATAAAAAAAATAAGAAAATAAAATTTCTAATGGTTCGTGAATTTTAAATTGGTTTTGCTTTATTAAGTTGTCAAACATATTAAGCTTTGAATTAAAACTAATAAAATTTTATGGCTAATATGCATTTAGTCTTCACACGTCCTCAAAATGAGCACCTTAGGGAAGCAGGATTGACCGTTTCAATGCACCATATAACAATATTATTTTTGTTGGTTTTTTTCTTCTTCTATGTTTTTATTGATTTATTTATATCTAGTATCTGATAGAATGACTTGAGAGATTACAAAGCTTGGAAAAACTTGACCAAAAAAATAAGAAGGCTCATTCTACCCTCACATAGATCCGTATCTATATCTCTTTACCCATGCAAAATTTTGAGTAGAAAATTGTAACTTTAGTATGAAAAAAGATTGGTTTTTTTTTTTTGGAAGAAAGGATTCATTACCAAGGCACAACTGCCAGACAAGAACAAAGAAAGCCGAAGACAGCTAACAAAACAGGGAGACCAACATACCCCAGCAGAACAAGAGGTACGAGATTACACAAGACGCTGCCACAACTGGCGAACACATCGTCCCACAAAAACAAGAACCTTAACTAACCACTCGAAGGGCAAGGCAACCCATCCTTGTTTACAATTCTAACAAGTGAAGATGGGGGCTAATCTGCCCACACAGGATTGCACATCTCCGGAGTAAAATTCTTCGCAACGAAATTCGCCGCATAATTTACTAATCTTGGAATCCAAGACCAGGAGCAGGCTTGGAAAGTCTTCCCAACCACCCATATACGGTTTCAGATTGGGAGGATTTCCCAAGCGCAGCTCAAAGAGCTATCATGCAAACATGAAATAACCTGTTTCAAATCTGATTCTATCACCACCCAGGGGATATTCAGACCCTTCGCCAGATAGCACCCCTCAAGAACCGCCAAGGACTCAGCCACCGCCATTGACGAAGCCGGAACCGCCACCCTTTTGACCTCCAAACATCTACAACTTGAGTCTTAGACCACCAAACCAACCCTAGCAGAATTAGCACCTTGTCTCCAGCTCGCATCCACACTAACCTTCACCAAGGGACAAGGAGGAGGAAACCACGAAATCACACGTTCACGGCTGGGCAGAGGCGGAGGAACAAGACCAGATTCCCTTGACTTAGCAACAACATAATTCTCCCAACTACTGGAAAGATTGAATATGGTTTGTGATAGAGATGGGGTACGGTTGTTGAACACCACATTGCATCTGGCTTTCCAGATAAACCAACAGAAAAAGGCCACCTAAGACAAAAATCGAGACTTAAACTCATTAGACCCCAGCTGCAGCGCACACATGTGAGAGAGTTAATCATTGAATGAGGTAATTGAAACGCCATTAATTTGAATACAAAGAGAACCACCGAACCACACAGGCTACACCCACGAGCATAAGAGCAGGAGGTGCTTAACAGATTCCGAATGAGCAAGGCAAATAGGACAGCACGGATTTCAACACACCTCATCCTAAACAGGTTCTCCTGAGTAGCAATGACACCCTTTATGCAGCGCCACACAAAGATTTTCACTTTTGGAGGGACCTAAAGCTTCCAAATACCAGCCCACACCGCAGACTCAGCAAAACGGGAGGAAGAGGGATGATCAATCCGCCAACCCGGAGTAAAGTTTCGCACCCACCAATACCCCGATTTAACCGAGTATTTGCCATTCTTAGAGGTGGGCCAGATAAGGCGATATGAAGAAAGTGAATCCCCTACCTGAATTCTGGAGATCGCAGCCCCATCAAACTCAGAAAAAAGGGCCCCAAGCTCATCTGATCTCTACGTCCTACGCTCTGTGTCAATGATCGAAGCCACCACCCGTGTCCTGTCAAGCTCAACCCCATCTCTAGGAGTCGGATGACCATTCAGGATGCCAGGAAACCTTTTTTTCAACCCACAGATTGATCAGATTCCTACTTAAAACTTGCCATCTCAACCCACGAGTGATAAAATCCCGTCCCTCCAACAAGCTAGACCAAACCAACGACGCATGCCCGCCCCTCTTGGCCTTCAATAACAAATCCTGAGGGAAATATCTATCCTTCAACACCTTAACCCATAGCGAATCTGGCTCGTGGAGAAGCCGCCAACATTGCTTGGTGAGAATGGCGGAGTTGAAATCTTTCAAATTACGAAAGTTCAAACCATCATCCCTCTTGGCGCGCCCCATTTCGTCCCACTTTAACTAATGAATGCTCTGCTATTTGTTCGTATTTCCTCACCAAAACGTGGCAAGAGTAGCATCAATCTCCCTGAATAGTCTATCAGGCAGCCGAAACACGTTCATCGAGTATGTTGGGACAGCCAAGGCAATAGCCTTAATAAGCACTTCTTTACCTGCCTAGGAAAGGAATTGTTGCTTCCACCCCATAATTTTTACCAGGACCCGGTCCTTAATGTAAGTAACGGCGTTCGATGGTTACAAGCGGGGGACGCTAATACTGTTTTCTTCCATCAATCTACGGTACAACGCCGACGTTCTAACCACATTGGCAGACTCCAAAATGCTAGTGGGAGTTAGACGGATGACCTCCTAGGTATCCGACATGTGGTTGATGACCACTTCATGCGGTTGTTTTCTACAGAGGAGAGTCGCCAGTGGGGGGACATTTTGGAGTGTGTTGATCTAATTGTAATGCCTGAGATGAATGATGGGTTAAGGAATTATGAGGAGGAGATGGAGATCAGAAAGGCTTTGGCGTAGATAGGTGGCCTAAAGGCGCCTGGTCCTAATGGATTCCAGGGGGTGTTCTTCCAACACTTATGGGAAATTATTTCTCCATAGGTAATGGGGATGGCTGTTGAATGTCTTAGTGGGGGAGCTTGTCCGAATTTGATCAACTCGACACATATTGTTTTAATTCCCAAGGTCCCACACCCAGAGTCTGTGAATCAATTCAAGCCGATAAGTCTATGTAATTATTCCTTTAAGGTATTATCAAAAATTCTTGCCAACCGGCTGAAACCATTTTTACCGAAGTTAATTTCCCCCAGTCAAAATGCCTTCGTCCATGGCCACCAAATTTAGGACATTATTATTTTGGCCCATGAGGTCTTCTACTTCCTCAAGCTCCAAAAAGCTAAGCATAGATTTGAGTTGGGCATCAAGCTAGATATGAACAAGGCTTATGACCGGGTTGAATGGGATTTTTTGGAGGCAGTGGTGAGGAAAATGGGATTCTGTGATGCTTGTGTATCATTTGTCCAGTTTTTTGTGCTTCTAAATGGGCAGCCTGGGAAGAAGTTCAAGCCGTTAAGGGGGGCTGCGGCAGGGGGACCCCCTGTCACCATACCTATTTTTTTATTGTTTGTGAAGTTCTTTCCCGCCTTATCAAGAGGGCCACTAGTCTTGGGTTCTTGGATGGTATTCAACTCAGTGTGAATGGACCAAAGCTTACCCATTTACTTTTTGCTGATGACACGCTTGTGTTCCTGAAAGCTACTCCTGACAATTGCCGGAATATGTCAAACTTACTGAAAACTTACTGTCGGGCTTCTGGTCAGCAAGTTAGCTTACAAAAATCAACGGTCTACTTCAGCGCCAACACCCCTATGGCAATGGCCCAAGAGCTCGGTGTCAACTTAGAAATGTTGGTTGTGGAGGATCCGGTGATGTACCTGGGTGTCCCCACAGTGAAAAATGATTGTTTGATCTATAGTTTCTGCTCAAGTGGCCCCGCAATGAATGCCCCCACTCAATTGTTTTTTGGTGGATAAAAAAAGTTGACGTATCGCTAGTTTACTTGCTTGTGATATTAATTAGCATTAATTCTTTTAGTTGGCCAATGTTGAAAGAGCATTTTCAACCATGAAATTTCTGAAGAATCGATTGAGAAATCGAATGGGAGATTGATGAATGAATGATAACATGGTTATTCTTATAGAGAAAGAGATATTTGATGGTATTCGTAATGAAGTTGTCATGCAACGATTTTAAAACATGAAAACACGTCGAGGGATAGTGTGATGCGTTGTACAAAAAATCCTATGGATTAATATATAGGTATTTTGTTTAATAAATTCTTCAACATTTTAATTTGTAACTTTGTTGTCTAAGGATACCCTCATCGATACAGATCTCTAACTTCGTCCTTGTATCTAGTACGTTACATTGTCAAGAGACATGAAAAACAAATGATTATGATATAATTAGGTTTTATTGGAAAAGTATTGTAAGGTATATCGTGGATGCTCAATACTCGATATCCTGTTGATTATTTAATGGTATCAACATTAATCATATATCGTAGATTGGTATTCTGTACCAATCAACCACTCCCCCATTTTACATCCTAACGAATACTCTAACAATACCTATGGCCAAGTCTACCAACACATGTCCAGTTTTGAGTTTAAGAAGCATGAGAATTCTATGCCTCTTATAGTAAGAAATCCTCTGTAATGCAACAACATCAATCCACATATACGTACGTATACATGTACAAGTTGTTTTTGGCTTATATGCCGTCCTAGCATTAGACCTAGTCATGGTGACTCGATTGAATAATGTCTCTTTGAAACTATAGACTTACTATATACACATATGTATATAACATATTTATATATTTTTGAAAATATTAGCCGGCAGATAATTATTGATCAGCCTGGGATCAGTTTATATACATGCACTTCCCAATAATCCTTCCCCTCCTCTACCCATTGTTCTCTTCAATCTGAAGCAAATTAATGGTCACCTTAATTTCATGGAAATGTAACTGAATCGAAGTGTGCACACCCCTTAAAGAATACAAAAATGGAAATGCGACACCAGTTGGCGGTGGCTTCACCACCATCTCGAAGTTTTGTTCATGCTCACATACACATGTTGGAAGGCTTTGTTGTTGGCATTCTGTCAGTTTTGATAGTGGCCTTGTTATACTACTTGATCAAGAAGAAGCTCCTACCAGCTCTCAGGCAAAGGCAAAGACAATTACTACATGAGCTTGGGCAGAAAGGTGAGCAAAACCTCATTTTGTTGTGGGGCCCACACCAATTTAACCCAATTCATTGACACTCTTCAACAACCATCATTTAATAACCATTTTGATTTTAGTTTTTATTATTTAGTGTTATTTTGTGTGTGTTGTAGATATAGGAAAAGTATGCAGAAGAATGAATTGTGAGCGAAACACAAAATGAAAATGTATAACGTGCTTGCACTTTCAAATTTTTGTTTTCATGGAATCTCCTTCATTTCTTTCTTCTGCCTCCCAGTACCTCCCTTCATCCTACATCCTTCTCCGCGATTCATTTCTCTTTTATACTTTTTCTCTATTTCTAGCACAAAAAATGAAAACTAAATCAAACGGGACTAATAATATGAAAACGTTGTCTTAATTACCACATATTCGACGTTTATGTAATAAGTACCAATTAAACATCATCCATTCAAAACAAGAAATTACTGAACTAAACAGCCAAATGAAATTACGTGTTTTGTTAATCCGTTTGACAAGAGAACATTAGTTACGATCTGGAGAGACCACTTGAAGATTTCGGGGTGTGACTACTATGTTTTTGTCTGTTAGGAAATTTGAAAGAAGAGAAAATAACGTTGAGGCGCTTCCAGTTGGATGAACTAGTGAAGGCTACTAATAATTTCAGCAGTGAGTGCTTGTTGGGTTCTGGTGGTTTTGCAAATGTCTACAAGGGGACCTTTGATGATGCAGGAACCCTAGCCATTAAGCGAGCCCACGCCGATTCATTTCAGAGTGTCGAAGAATTCAGAAATGGTAAGCCTCAACCAATAAAAACATGTAAACGGTACTCAGATACACAAAAGTAACACGCTTGCTAACATTTTTTAATATATGTGCATCAATAGTAGGGCCCAATCAAATATATATAGTCTTGTGTGTCTAAATAGATTTATCGATGTAGAAGTTTGTAGTGTAGAAAGATTCAGAATTTAGTTGATATCATCTGATTTCTGTGTAGTGTTTATTCTTTGAACAGAAGTGAGGCTACTTTCTAAGGTCAAGCACAGAAACCTTGTAGGTTTGGTTGGATATTGTGAAGGATCATCTGGTATGTAATCCACCTGTAAATGCATGTTTAATTTTCTAAATTAGCCCTCCCCTTGTATTGACAAGGGAAATAATTTCAGCACCCTTTGATTCTCCTTAATTTTGATTTCTTAAAATCGAATGCCAAAAATGATCAGGAGTGCATACGTAGGCTATAAAAAGGTGTGTGGAAATCAATTCCTTTGATAAAGGCATGTGAACTAGCTAATATGTTGGATTGTGACTGGAATAGGGGCAAAAGGAGGAAAAGTGTTGATCTATGAATATGTACCAAATGGTTCTCTCCTTGATTACTTTATGGGTATGTATGTTCCTTACCAGGAAATTAAACCTACTTGTTAAGTGCTAAGTATAAATCTTCCTAATTCTATGTTTGTTTAGCATAAATCCTGTTAAATTACCATGTAGGAAGAAAATGGAGGAGCTTAACTTGGAGGCAAAGAGTCAACATAGCCATTGGAGCAGCAAAAGGTCAGTCATCAGAGATTCATAACTATATAAATAGTCTAACTAGATAAGTAGAACTCTAATTGATTGTGTGAAATTTTGCAGGCATTGCTCATTTGCATGAAGGAGTAAACCCGAGCATAATCCACCGCGATATAAAGCCAAGTAACGTCTTGATAGGAGATGGATTTGAAGCCAAGGTTTCAGATTTTGGACTTGTTAGGTCAGGGCCTACTGGGGATCAATCACATGTCAGCAGCCAAATCAAGGGAACTCCAGGATACCTAGACCCTGCATATTGTTCAAGTTTCCATTTGACGCCGTTTAGCGATGTCTACAGCTTTGGTGTGATACTTCTGCAGCTTATTTCTTCCCGGCCTGCGGTTGATTCGACAGGCCACCGCCCTAAGCAGCATATAATTAACTGGGTAAACATTTCAAACATTGCTCTTTTTTCTTCTTTTCTTTCTTCTGATACAAGCGATATGTATTCTACTTTAAATTAATTTTGGACTGCAGAGAGGGAAATTCAAACTTGCTTCGCAAAAGAGTTTGCCTTTGTTTTTCGAGTTCTAGTGAGCTGTTTTTCTTGAATGCAGGCAAGACCAAGCTTAGAGCAAGGCCGTGTTGAGGAGATTTTAGATGCAAATCTTTTAACAGAGCCATGTAACACAGAGATGATGCTAAAGATGGGGAAACTTGGCCTAAGATGTGTTGTGAAAGTGCCCAAAAACCGCCCTACCATGTCGCAAGTGTGGAAAGAACTCGAAGAGGCCCTATACTTTGCAGACAACTTCATTAGCAAACAGCCTTCATGGGGATCTCGAAGATCAACTGGCACGTCCCACATACCATCAGAGCTAGGGCATAGAAGATCAATGGACTATGACCAGTCTCAAAACTCGGTGAGCATAGATGGCATTGGACTCCAGAGGTTTCATGTCGACGTAGATAGCCTTTCCTTTCAGAGCACAAGCTTAAGGTGTTTGGAGTTGAATGATAGCAGCATCGATATCGACATCGAAAATTGGGAAGATATACATGAGGAATCTATTAGAGAAAAAGAACTGAACATGTAATACATCTTTCTTCTGTGTGTGCATTTTGTAAGAGTTTTCTGAATTGTAATATATCATTCCTTTAAGAAGCACAACAATACAATGTTTTTTTATAAGAGATATCGTAGAATATTCTACATATTCACAATATTATAACGTGTGACATACAGGAAAGTTTATTAACCTAAAACAACAGCCTATTTGGAGACAAACGTGCACTACAAGCAAAACCGAGTGTTTTTGAGAAAGGTTGGAACCATAGATTAATTGGTTTATTGACCTAATTCCAAATATCCTATTGAGTAAACAGAGTTTATATTTAGAATCAAGTTTCTCCGTCATTCCATGAAAAGTTATTTACGATTTTGCAACAAATTAAGGATCAAAGAAAAATTAAATATTGTTCCCAAAATAATAAAACAAAAAAAGCTTAGGCTCCTAACGTTCTCAAAGCCTATAACATGAATCAACTCTTAAAATTGCCTGTCATGCTCAAAATCCTATACGCATCCTTCCGAATCCGCCATCGGCATTAACCCGACTGTAGCAAGGTCATTTTATGATGAGTTGATACTTTCGTTGTCAGCTTCGTTTGCATCTCCACTGCATGCTATAAGGTTTTCATACATTTTCATTTCATTGTTTGAATACTCAACCAAGGATTCGAAAACTGTAGAAAACCCCGTCTGAAATCTACTCACAGCAATATAAGTTTTCGCCTTCTTAGTATCTAGCTTCTTCCCCAACTGCTCCTTCATCTCAGTTTCAGGCCTGTTCCGCTTATTCTGTTCTTTCAACTCTTCAGCAATCTCTTTCTTTAGTCGATGCTCCTTTCTTTGTCGATCCACCAGTGCTCGGACATCCTTCCCAAAGTCTTTCATGGCACAAGTGACTGCTTCATCTGGAAGGCTCTGCAGGCAATCTAACCAACTCTGATACAGTGAAGACTTGTCAGGGGTGCCGGATCCATTTTCAGCACCAGCAAACTTGAATATCCCACCATGAAGAGCTTTAACGTACGCCTTCTGCGAAGAGACATACGAAGCAAAGCAAGAGCACCACTTTTGAAGTTCGTCTTCAAGCTTAGAAGTGGCAAGTTGGTGTAAGTCATTGCATGACATTCCATCGGACGGAGAGTTGAGACATTTCACTTGAGACATGATTCTCTTTTGCATCTCATGAGCTTCCGACATCATCTGCGAATTTCTCATTAGGCTGCAAAAATGCGGAAAGAGAGGGTTAGAACACAATTCAAAAATATTCAGGTGTCTAATACACATTCAAAGTAGGATTGTGGCATTTATATTACCCTTGAAACAACTTAACAACTTGTGCCTGCAACTCATCTCTCAGCTTTTGAATTTTCTTGGAGTTGTATGTGATATCTGTATAGGAATTTGAAATTTTGCTATCCAAGTACGATATCTTAACTCCAATCCTGTCCTTTTTCTTGAGCACATCTCCTTCTCCTCTTTGCTTTTGCAGTCGGACGCATCTTTTCTTGGTTTTTTCCACAATCTGAATATAAAATTTAACGATGATTCAGAAAAAAATTGTTGTGAAACTCATATCAAAGAAATACGAAAAAAATCAAATGAAAGATCAAGTTGGGTAGCAAAGAAATTTCAGAAACTGAACGAAGAAAAGAACTTGTCAGATTGATATTGTACCTTCACCTCCTCATACAGCTTCTTCTCCGCATCGTATAGGCTCGCAAGTGTTGACGAATGGCCCCCAAGCAACGTCTTTCCATGGTCATCAAGGCCACTATTGAAATAAGTGCATGTCGAAGAAGTTCTAGAGCTAGATCTCAAGACAATTTTGGAGGAGAATCTAGATGAGGCGCAGTGGCTCACCGTCATTGAACGGACAAACTTTTCCGATTTTTCTGCACCCAAAATCATAGATGCTTTGACGTTAGAGCTATATTAAAGAATAAAATCAAATGTGGACATGAATTTCACACACTAAAAAAAGTGTTACCATGCCCACGCACCATATATTAATTTGTCATGCATATTTTAGTTATAAATTAGGTTGAAAAATAAAACAGATGGGGGACAAAAGCACCAAAAACCATAATCACAAAACGAACTTCCGAGAAAAGATGAAAGAAAAATCAAAGAGTAATGTAAGGGAGATTAAATTTTTTAAAATTAAATTGCAAATTAATGACATGTCACTAATAAGAAACAAGCACGTTAATCGACACTTAATTAATAATTCAATCATCTACAACCAAATCATTTAGTTTGCAAATTTGATTTAAAAATTTTGGTCTCCCTGGTTACTCAAAACGAAAAGTTAAAAGAGAAGGATCTCACCTTTAATCTCCTTGGAAGCAGATTCTACTTGAACCATGTTGGTTTCAAGCATCCTCGAAACCTCCATACCAGAATGATAAGTTCGAAAGAAATGCTTCTCAACAGCTTTTAGTGCTTCCAACAATTCTATCGCTTTTCCTTCCGTTTGATTCATATTACTCGAATCTCCCTCCTTTTCACTACTTATCGCCATCTCTCCCCCCTCAGAATCTCTTTGTGTTGATGATGCCACTGAAGGAGCCACCATCACCCTACAAACTACTTCCCCATCAGTCGTCCCAGCGTCGTCCTCTTCTCCGTCAACCTTTACGGAGCTCGTCGAAATTTCGGAGTCCGAAAACGTTGAGTCAATGTTTTGAGTATGAACGTTTGCTAACATCCCTACAGCATGCCCGACCGCCAAGAGCGAATGGATGTACTTGCACTGCGCGTCTGCGAACGCAGACCTTCTCTCTAGGGCTAACTCTAGCTGGCGTTTTCTCTCTCTACAAAGCCGTACCTGATCGTTAACATCCACCACCCTGGAATTGGATTTGGAAGGAATACCACCCATGTCTCTGATTCCTCTGAATTTGCAGGGTTTTGGTTTGCTTAAGAAGATTTGTACGGACTTCTAAAGATTAGTCCGTTCTGTTTTTTTTTTTTGGGTTCATGGGTAGGGACTAGGGGTATATATACTGGTAGTAAAAACTCCTTGTTTGAAGGGGTAATTGTAAAAACTTGCTGTTTTTTAATCTAATTCCGAGGATAAAAGATCAATTTGAAAATTTTAATTAGGGAAGTTCTTCATATTCTTAGCCGTTTTCTTCATGTTTGAAACTGGGAAACCTCTTTTCATATTTAAATTCTTTTTAGGAAAAATCGCTTTCCTTTTTTTTTTCTTTTTCTAACTCTCCTTTCTTGAGCCTAAAGTTAGAACATTCTAGAAGTGGAATATTCAGTTATGTTGTCGAGTTTAATCATAACATGTAAAATTGTAAATCACGTGACTTGTGTTCTCGATACTCTGTAAACAATTTATCATGGGTATAATCAACATATTAAGGATACTACCTACTAACATTACGATAGGTGATATTCTTCTTCACTTATAATTATATATCAAGTTTAACTCACATGCTGATTTCGATTTTTGCTTATATTTGGACCATTGTGCGAGTTAGCATAAATCCTTCCTCTCCCTCAGGGTAGGAGAATATTGTATTAAGAAAAAAGGAAAACATATTAGGCCATTGGATAGGGCAGTGTGTCCACCCCCTGCACGAGTTAAATTCCTTCCCCGTAGATCAAAACAATTTAGAGCAAGGTCGTGGAGGAAATTTTAGCTAAATTTCCACCAAGTGTTGCAAGAACTTGAAGGAAACATCTCTTCGGGAGACAACTTCATTAACAAACAGCCTTCAAGGGGATCTTGAAAACCAACTGGCCTAAACAATAGCTGGAATACGATTTGTCTCAAAACTGTGCCATCAGATTCATAGGTTTCACGTCGACATCTTGAGATGGTTTAAGAGCTCTTGGGCGCCATTCCGCTGCAAGCCGGTTTTTAGAGGCAAAATCTACTCGGGGACTCTTAACAAAACAGTAGTATCAGTATCTTCCACATTGTGAATTTGCCGATTTTGTAACATTGTCATACCAGGAGGTGTAAGGAAGTGCGTGCTCCTCTTCTCCCATTTAGAAGAGACTTGCATGGAGCAAGTTCATCGACTTTGTGACATCCTACGTCACTAATACATGGCCTTATGATAATAGACTGAGGTGCCACGTGACGGTAAACTAGGTTCTAGTTGTAAGATAAAGTATATGCGGACGTCACCCCAACAAACCCCTCGTTCAGGATTCAAGAAGCTCTACGTTGCACTCAGGCCATCCAGACAATTTCAGAATTCAAAGAAAACGTACAAGCAATCAGCATGTAGAGATTTTCCATTTCCAAGGTGTCCTTCCACGCATGATTTACATGTCCCAAAAACTCTACAACGAAGTTGAAGAAAACCGAAAAAATTCTACCATACACCGAAGCATACTAGAAAATCCCGAAAGAGAAAAATCAAAGAGAAGATTGTCCACAAGAAAGAATCTTTATGTGCCTGTCACCTTTGAAGCTCTACATTTTTTTTATTCTTTCTTTTATACCTCTGCTCAATATCTCATAAACTAAAAATAAATTACATGTTCAAGTTAATTGTTACATTGTACAGTGAAAAAAAATTGACTGCACCTTCCCTTGTCTCTTCGGATGTACAAGCTGACGGTTCACTGGAGTTCTCAGAAGGACTCAACAATAGATACAATATTATATGACCTGGCTCCCATCAGCTATCCATGGGTGTGGAACATGGGGCAAGAGTTTTTGATGGTATATGAACACCGGCTCCTCTCACGGACAAAGTAGGACCTCTCGTTGAGCTGGCTTTGCTCACAAGGTTCGAGTCAAGGAATAGGACTATCACTGTTATGTCGTCGTGGAAATGCCGGCGGACACCACGCTCTATTTTCTTCAAGTCTGAGTATCTCATTTCTCTTTTCTTAGCTGCTTCCTGCAAGGCAGTTTTCACAAGCCTCCGAGCACTTCCCTGAAAAACAAGAAGCAAGTAAAATCATGTTCCTTCTCTTTTAGACCACTCGCAATATGGTGTTTGATATACAATTCGACACTAATCTTTGGTGCTCCTGTATTAGTAGTCATAAACT